AAAAAAAATGATAGTAAAAAATTCTATATTCACTGCTGCTTCCAATACTTATGTTGACAAAAATGGATCCCTTATGTGGATTAGATTCAGTCCTGTCTCCTAGTTAATACTTTAGAAAAAAAAAAATGGAGTGTAAAAAAAAGTTATCAGGACTGTGTTAGCTCTCTTTATAACAGTGAATGTTTTGGTTTTATTTTAATAGTTTTTGTTATAAAAAAATTATGTATCCTATTATGTATTAAAATTAAAAATGGCAAAGGTAAAAGAATTGACTGTGACTGAACAGGCAAAGATAATTTTTATGTAGTAAGAAGCGTATGTCTTGGGAAACATACTTTTCAAGCTGTATCAAGCTTCACCTACCTCAGGTCCATAATTAACAATAGCAATAATGAAGAGAAGGAGATAAGAGCTAGAATAATGGCTGCCAACAGAGCGTACTTTTCTCTAGCGAGCCTAGCGTACTTTTCTCTAGCGAGCCTTCTGAAAAGTAGATTGTTAAGTCGTACAACGAAATTGCTTGAGAACAAACAAGGAGGTATACTCAATGTGCGGTGATATGTCTATCTCCCAATTTGTTCGAGTGCAGCGAATGAAATGGTTGGGACATGTTCTGAGAATGGATGAAGCTAGGACGGTGAGAAGGCTTTATCATGGGAAGCTAGAGGGAGTTAGGTCTAGGGGAAGACAGAAGGCAAGATGGATAGACAACGTGAAAGAAGACTTGAGAAAAAATGGCATATTCATCAAGTGTGCAGCCAACAGGTATGACTGGGCAATGGTAATTGAGCAGGCCAAGGACTGCTACATGCGTCTGTTGTGCCAATAATGAATGAATAAAGAAGGGTATACCCAATACAAGATAGCTAAAACTATGAAGTGCTCTTGTTGTCCTGTTCAATATACGCTTATATGACACTGGAAGTTAGCACAGGTTCCTCACTACCTAGAACAGGAAGAAAGATAATAACAAGAGTACATGAGAAAAGGTTTTTGGTGGGAACATTGCTTTAGAATCGTAAGAAAACATCACAACAGCTGGCTAATGAGATGAAAACCTTGTTTTCTGTTGATATTTCTGCCTGGACAATAAGAACACTGGTAGAGAAGGGTCTGAATGGCTGTAAGGCCAGGAAGAAACCATGGCTTAGTGATGCCAACCAAAAGAAGAGGCTCAATTGGGCAAAATTTCACCAAAACTGGAGTGTTCAAGATTGAGCAAAGGTGGTTTGGTAAAGTAAAAGTAAAATGAAAGTAACTTTGAGGTAATTTAATTACAGCATATTGAAATTAAAAATGCAAAAACTCCATAAAATAAACTTAATATACACAAACTTAGTTATTTTTCAAAATCTATTAAAATTTCAAATTGTGTACAGATTTTTGGAACTCCTGGTGCCGTTTTCATATGAAGGAGGAAAGGCGAATCCTATTACCCAAATTGTGTTGTCCTTACAGTAAAACATGGTGAGGAGAAATATAATGATTTGGGGCAGTATGGAGGCTTCGGGTGTTGGAGAAATGTTTTAATGCAAGGGGAGGATGATTAGCGATACCTGATAAATCAATACGATAATGATAAATACGATCAATGATAAATCAAACTTTGAAGCCTTCATTTGAAAAAATATTTGTACTTAATATCAGACAAGACATTATTTTTCAAAAGAATAATGCGCCATGCCATGTTCCACGCAAAAGTAAAGAATGGTTTGAAAAAATAAGGCACTTGATGGGCCTCCTCATTCTGATTGAGCACTTATGGTCTAAATTGAAAATTGCTGTTGGTAAACAACCTTACAAAGAAAGACAGCTTGTTTTCATTTTTAAACAAAGTTTTAAATGTATATGTATATGTGACAAAAATGTATATTGATTAAATCTTAATAACTTTAACGTCATTTGTTTAAATGGTATTGGTATTCAAAAAATGACTTTTTTTAAAGTTTTGATACTCAGTGGATGCAGAATTAGTTGCTTTATAAAATTTTATTCTCCAAGTTTTCTCTCTTAGAGACTTGATTTCCAACCTGCAAAATCAATTTTTGTAATATATCTCAGTTTTTTACAATGTTGGGGAAAATTGTTGTTTGTTGCCCATTGTTTTCAACCATATCAATTGAACATATTATTCAAGTGTGGTATTCATTTGACACAGAATTTATTGTTCTTTAATTTCTCAAAGAATAGCTTTTTTCACTTGGATGCACCAGTCAGATGTTATAGCCAAAAGATTTGAAGGTTTTTTTAAATTCAAAAGTGCCCCATGTTAGCAATTTTATTTTATTCATATTTACACCCATATATACATATATAAACCTGTACCATTACAACCCATGAAGGGTCTTAGATTCAGAACTTTGTAAGGAAGTACTATTTCAAGGCCAACAGTTGTGTAGGGAGGTGATCAGGCTAGGATCACATTCAACCATCAGGTTTTCCTCTTAATTAATTATTGAATTAAGAGTACCCACTTTATAGAGGATGGGTGTACCCAGGATCGATCCACAGCTGATGAAAAATTACTAGTCATCTCATATATTCATATACTCATATATATAAGTTTAAAAAATCTGGTGCGCGCAACACACAACTTTCACTTATCCCTCTACTTTGAATAGAAATTATTTTCTGGCAACCTTGGGCTATTATAAACTTTTTGAAGTGCATTTCAAAAAAGCTTAAAGCTTAGATATTACAGGTCATTAAGACCATTAAAATTACAAAATGTCTATTTATTATTTCGACAGTAGGCAATAAAAATCTAGTTTTATAAACTACATAATTTCAGTCTCTGAGCCTTTTAGCTGACTGAATGATTAACTCCAATTTCAACATTTTTGACTAATGTCATTTTAGTGATATTTGTAGTTGGAAAAGTTACATCTATACAGCCAAGGAGTAACTTGATTCCAGAGTAGGTGATTGCAGTGTTGAAATATAGAACTGTGAATAAATGTATAAATTTTGTCGCTAGATAGATCACTAAAATTGATAATAAAGAATGTTGAAATTGGAGTTAGTCATTCTGTCATCGGAAAGGCTCATATATGCCTAGAGAGATTTGAAAGTACATCTGAATATTCAACCTATTAATGATTATAGATTGTAGGACTATTAGTTATTTTCTATTGTAAAGTTTACTAAAATGAAATTACGAGATTTTCATTGCCTGCCATAGATAGGTCAAAAGTTGTCACACTTATTGTAAGTGGATAATGTTGGGATTTCAGAAAGGGAAAATTCATCAAATGATTCACTAATTTAATTTTCTAAAAGGTTACTTGATGATTTTTTGTAATGAACGGCCAATAGATACCTAATTATTTAAATATAATATCATATTTGGAGTTATTAAACTACAGAAAATGTATTTAAGGTTATAAACATGTCCATGAAATATTTTTATATTTCACTTTTTCTTTCACACAAGTACAATTAAATAGTATTTTGAACAATAGCATTGGCATGGTTCGGTGGATTTAAAATACTTTTTTCAAACTTAGAAAAAAATTTAAAAGTTTACATTTAGTAGGAAAATTTCATTTAATTTCATTGGAAACATGTGATTTATGTTGAATAATGTTAGTTTTCTGAAATTATTATTTATATTTTTTTCTTCACTCTCCGTTACCTTCTACAAATTTATTTATTTGATATTATTCTTTCTAAAATTCTCACTTTCTAATGATATATTATAGATATACCTTCTGACATTTTCGTTATTTCCGGAGATTCATTTTCAACCTGGATAAGCATTGTTCTTATTTTCTCCAGTTTCCAATTATCACATTCTTTCAAACTTCATATTTAACAATTTTAGATAGTTTCTGTCAATAAAAGAGAGTTATCTTTTTTAAATAAACTACTTTAAAGGTACTTTAGGGCATTTAAGCCCTGTAAAGTGACATCGATGGGGGTAAAACCTAAATGATATTAAAGACCCCTTAATTATACAATGATATACCGAGTTTAATCAAAATTGTTTTTGAGTAAATTGAAAAAGTGTGTTTTACCGTTGATATAAAGTGGCACTTCTGGTTAGCCGATTTTAAGGAAAAAGTTGCTGTAACATCTGAGGCATATAAAAACCTTAAATATGCAATTGTACTTTCTTACGACTTTTCGTTTTTGAGCTAGACTGCTAACACACACACAGACTATTTTGCGGGACTTGGTTATTTTGACTCAGGAGACCTCAAAACATGTATTTCCGTTTAAAACTCAGATTCGAAAATTTTCACGATCTCAATACTTACCCTTACTATATATTTCATATATAGGTAAGTGAAAGTAATAAAAACTTGTTTCACATTTTTTGCAATATAACCTCCCTTTCGATCTTTAACTAACTAGGTTATTATTTTTTAAATCAGCCATAATTTTTTTAATAAGAAGCTTTGGATTGGTAGACAGGCTCATTTTACTTAAAATAACATAGTTTGTATTTCATAATCAAATTTTCTTCAGCTGAGTACCCTTTTTAAGCCACAGCACATAGCTTGAGATGTGTTGTCAGGTGATTTAATCTGAATATGATATTGTTTGTTACCATGAAATGGAGTGCAGCAATTGATAATTTTTTATTAGACTTTTATCAATTTTCAGTTTTGAATATGGCCAAATTGGCAAAACCATATCATCTATAACGACCAACCATCTTGATTATAATTTTGGTCTGTTATTTGAGTTTTACACTTATAATTTATATATTAAATAAATATATTAAAGCTCAAGTTGACTATTTGTTAGAATTCATCATTGTTTTAAATTTCTTTTTAGTTTTTTTTCTAGTAGATGTTAGTTATTTAAAAAATGATTACTTTATTAAGTCTATTGTTAACAATACTGTCAAGTACATGAAAATTATGCCTAGAAAAGTTACCATTTCTAAGTAATATTAAATGTTGATTACGTTCTATTATTTTAACCTTGATTTAATTAATGTATTATTCTGTTTCTAATCAGTTTTTTTTACTCAATTGGTGCTCATGTTTCAGAAAGGGAAGAGTTGATGCATTTGTTCAGAGTACAGATAAGAACTTATTGGTCCCGGTAGGGGGTGCTATCATTTCAGGATTTGACAAAGGTCTTCTAGAAAGGATATCTCGAAATTACCCTGGTAATTTAATTCTTGCCTTTTATAATTTTTTACCATTCATTTAATAACATGTTATCACAATTATTTTTTAAAACTGAATTACTAAAAAATAAATAATCTTTATTGAAATGCTGAAAATTAATTTTATCCTATCTTATTGTTTTGTATATTTGTAAAATGGGGGTTGATCCACCATTAGGACAGGAGAGGGGGTACCCCACTATTATATATAGTATATATATATATTACAATTTATTATTCTTTACACTAATTATTATTATTGACATTTGTTATTTATTTATGTTGACCATTTTTAAAATTATAAGGATCAAAGGAAAAGATTATAATTAATAGATCATATACTCATCAATGTATATATTACAGGAATGTAACTTCTTTTTGGTTTCATGTTTTTTACTTCACACTTTTGTATCTATTTATTTTTGAAACTACTATATTTAAATTGTTTTACATTTATAGCAAACTTCTACACATTTTACTATAGATTCCTCAAAATTAAATTTTTGTATTATATTGCAGGACGTGCATCTGCCAGCCCTGTGATAGATGTTTTTGTGACATTACTATCATTGGGTAGTAATGGTTATAAAAATTTAATTTACGAACGTAAAGAAATGTTTAAGTACCTAAAAGAAGAGCTTGGAAAAATAGCTACTAAACATGGAGAACGAATTTTGGACACTCGAAATAATCCCATTTCAATGGGTATGTTTTTTTTACTTGTTGATGATGAAACTATGTGTTATAAATTAATATTAATGAGAATATTTTTACTTTGTTCAACAAATAGTAGTAAGTTAAATCATTATCTAACTTTAGGTCATTAAAAAACACAGCTTCCTCACTACTATTGAGTAGGGAAACTTAGTATATATGGGATTTGAAAAAATGTCAAATTTTCACTCTTGAATTACATTTCGACATCTAGGAACAAATTTGGTTCTTGTATGCCTGTCAGTAGTAAAATGAATGTGACAGGCTAGCCAACAGCTTCTACTGTTGATCGATTTTGATGAAATTTTTTGATATTGTGTGAGTTGTTACCCAGATGGTCCCATATCAGTATCATTAAATTCTATCCACTATGTTTGCTTATGCATGCGCTAATTTATTTTCATATTCTAATATTTCAAACACGTCTTATTCAATTTAAAATTTGAGGAATGTTAGGAATTATTGTAGAACTGATTCTGGATCAATTTTATCAAACATAATCCCCTACTTTTGGTTATGGGTGTACAAACATTCTTGATTCATTTATGTTTCAAAAATGGTTTTCCTAATTTGGCCCAAAGTTGGGGAATACTGTAAAAATGGTCTTGTGTCAATTTGATCAAATTCGATTTAAAAATTCAAATTAATATAATTCTTATGAATATAATGACTGTAAAATGTAGTTGAGAGGTAATATGTGGATGTTCACTGCCTACAACATTTCATAATGGAGGGTTATTCAAATTTTTAGACTTACTATGTTTTTATAAATGATTTTTTTTTTTTGTAATATTCTATTTTTCTATTCAGTATATAAATTTAGATATGTGCTTATAATGCATGTATATATATATATATATATATATATATATATATATATATATATATATATATATATATATATATTAAGCTACTCAGTAGCTTAATAGCTACATAATAATCACATATATTAAGCTACTCAGTAGCTTAATATATGTGCTAATGGACGGTGCTGAGGCTGTCGGTGTGTCCCTGGCCTATCGAAGCTCTATTTTTTTAAATTCTAGCTTTGAAGAGGATCCCATGGTTGACTAATAAAAAGAAAATACCGGGATCGAAACGTCAATAAACAGAAGAAATGAACATTAATTAGTTTATTAAATAATAATTAAGTGACCTTATTCCCAATTAAATAGTGAAGTTTAAATTTAATACCCAAAGGTCGATTAAGGAAAAGTTGTAAATGTATATATATATATATATATATATATATATACAAGTTAGCTTCTCGAGAGATTAAAACTGTATATATATATATATATATATATATATATATATATATATACATACCCTGTGTACTTAATTGGGAATCTAGATTTGATCTATCAGGATGTTAGTAGCCGCCCTGAGGTTCGGTCCATGGACGGTCTGTTTCGGGGAAGAAATATAAGTCCTCGTGTGCCTGCTGACTCCGAGCAGTCATAATCCATATATCTAGACCGATTTGTCACTGTCCTTGAACCCGAGTGAGTCGGAGGGAAGGACGCTGCCAGATTGGCCCCAAAGAGATCGGTTATGAAGCTACTGGTGGCCTGCCGCTGCACCATGGTAACCATGGTTCGTAGCAACGTGAGGTTGGGTGACCTCCTCCAGGCTATCTGAGCTCCCCGAAAGGAACGTACATCTGTAAGGAGACCATATCTCACAGCCAAAGATCTTCATGGTTTGTAGTGCCAACCGAAAAAAAATATATATATATATATATATTGTAACGTTCCTCTTTCCCTCCAAAATCAAACAACGAGTTTCCTTTTTCAATATACTATTTATTTTACACATATAACATAAATCTCAGGTTGGGTTCTGACAACTGAACACTCATTCAACATTAAATAACTATAATTTACTAATTACTAAATACATATAAAGAAACTAGATATATACATTAAGAAATTATACATATAAAATTTATTATTGTTTTCAAAAACCTTGATTGTCGCAGTCTAAACTTTGTGGCTCTTTCTATTTTCTCAGCTTGCTGGCTAGTACCGTCTCTCTTGACAGCTTGTCACCTTCTCTCTTGGCTGCTATCACCTTCTCTCTTGGCGGCCCGTCACATTCTGTGTTCCATGAGGCTTGCTTCCCCCACTTCCTCCCCGTAGTTGCTGTTGCCACTTTCGCGCCACTATTTATATGCCATGTAATGTTGACATTACATTTCTCCTCCATTCCAGTTTAAAAAAAAATAAAAATGGAAATTTAAAATTCGGTGCAATATTTACATTTTTTTTTTTTTCATATAAAATATGAAATTTAACTTTTGACATTCACACTTTTTATAATAGATTTCCCAACCTGGTTATCAAACATTTACAATTTTATATACAAAATTATTGAATTATTTACACTATATTACTTTAATCTACATACAGTAATTACACAACTTGTTATCTAATTTATGTACAGGAAAAGTAGATTGATATACAAATAATAAAATAAGCTAAATACATTATTTACCAAAAGAATTTTACCGTACAATTCCCATATCTTATGTATAATTAACTTACAAATTAACTGTTTAAATTACTTATATAACATTCAAAAATATATTTTAACTTGTATTATAGGAATAATCAGAGAGAAGACACTAATTAATTAGACAATTTTTAACTTTCTTCTAAAATTTGGATTTTACCTAGCGATATCCGGCCAAAACAACTTATTAAACTTTTAGATATTAATCTATTATCCTATCTACCAACAATGTAATTAGACTATTTACAATATATTTACAAGTTATCCAGATTGAGTAACCTAACGATGGTTTCGCCAGGACCCTCTAGCTCGTCAACGGAAGGGACGCTAATTTAAAACCCTTTTTTATCCTCTGGATAGGATAAAGACTACCGTGTCTCACTATAACATAATGAGCGACCTGCCCTAACATGATCCAGGATCATATAACCCCCATAAAACTCATATTCTAGAATAAGTAGGATGACTGGTAATCCATTACAATCAAAATTATACTTAGTGAGTCCATGGAACGACACTTCATATAATCCTGTTCTTTTCTTACTCCAGTCATCAAACTTTCCTAACTCATCTTTAAATCGTAGAGTTAACTTTTCTGGAATTAAAGGAACTTCTGAACTAAAATAATTACCATGCTTTTCTCTGCTGGATTTTACTCCTTTGAACTCAATTTGAAATTTGAGAAGTTCTTTCTTTATATCTATAAGATTAACTGTATGAGTTTCTACTAGAAATTCTGTTGTCACTAATTGTTCTTCAAGGGTTTCTTCATCTTTTCTTAAGAGATTTTCTGATCCAATATCAATTGAAGAATTAATTTTGCTAAGCTCTTCAGTAACAATATGCTTCTTATCACTTTCTGAGTGACCAAAAGTAGTTTTCTCAGCCAGTTTAGTTTCTTGAACTTCAGTTATATTTGCAATAATTTGGGTTTCTAGGTTATCACAATCTTGTTTCAAAATTTCCTGTTCATTATTAGAAGTTTTTTCAGCCAGTGTAGTTTCTTGGACTTCAGTTATATTTGCAATAATTTGGGTTTCTAATTTATTTTCGTGAATTTGACTTTCCAAATCCCGCTTCCAAGCCTCCTGCTTGTTTTCAATACTACGAAGAATAGTCATTACTTGTTGAAACATACCACACACATCAGCACAACTCAAATTTTTGGCACTACTTATATCTATTTTTTTCACCCTCCATATTATTTTCACTAAACTCATTTATTTCATTTAATCCCGACCGACTTTCACACTGTCTATTTTCATCAAGTAGGCTTTGTACAACTGATTCTGCCTCATTTTCTACAATAACAACATTCCCATTAGATTTTCCAAGAATTACATTATTAAGATCTCTAACTTCTATTATCTCTCTCTGCTTATTCTCCATATTACTCAAAAATTATTAACAAAAAAAAAAAAAATTAAAATTAACAAGGATTGCGTGTTCAGTTGTCGTGACTATGTACGTTTTCAAAAGCCACGCTAGTTGGGCGCTATGTTGTTACGTTCCTCTTTCCCTCCAAAATCAAACAACGAGTTTCCTTTTTCAATATACTATTTATTTTACACATATAACATAAATCTCAGGTTGGGTTCTGACAACTGAACACTCATTCAACATTAAATAACTATAATTTACTAATTACTAAATACATATAAAGAAACTAGATACATACATTAAGAAATTATACATATAAAATTTCAATACAATTATTGTTTTCAAAAACCTTGATTGTCCCAGTCTAAACTTTGTGGCTCTTTCTATTTTCTCAGCTTGCCGGCTAGTACCTTCTCTCTTGACAGCTTGTCACATTTTCTCTTGGCGGCTCATAACCTTCTCTCTTGGCGGCCCGTCACCTTCTCTCTTGGCTGCTATCATCTTCTCTCTTGGCGGCCCGTCACATTCTGACTTCCATGAGGCTTGCTTCTCCCACTTCCTCCCCGTAGTTCATGCTGTTGCCACTTTCGCGCCACTATTTATATGCCATGTAATGTTGACATTACAATATATATTTTTTTTATTTCTTTCATATTTCTAGTTCATATGAAGAATATTTATTTTGGGAATCCAAATTCGTTTTATTATTTTTACACCATGTGTTTTGTTATCAAAATATTTTAATGCAACATGTATAATATGGATAGTTGTTTTTATTATAATACTCCCCTTTATCAGTTTATGGCCATTCTGCATAAACTCTGTACATATGTATGGTATGGGAATTAATGGATCCATAGGGCTATGTCAATATTTTTGTAATTTAGTAAAATTGTTAGTTTGTTAGTGTGGTTTCGAAGACCATTCCCATTCCAAAGGAGAATGGAAAGGGATTTGTTTGTGGTCATTTAAGGATATTTCGGTGGTGGGATTAAATTTTACATAACATTTGTAAGTATGAAGGGTGATGAGGGATCTGAACTCAGAGGAATGATGTGAGGAGGCTGGTAAGGTCATTGGCATTGTTAGGAGGAGGT